CCCGCTTAAACCATTTGGAGAACCGCAGTTGCAGCCTCTAAACAGCCAGGCGCCGCTTATTGCATCCTGTGCTCATCCAACGCGCCTCAACTTTTCTCCACACACTCACACACATACCTATATGGTAGTACTACTATATGTTGAAGTGTTATAAAATGGTGCTTATTGCATTGTGAGCGGCATAAATATTCGCACACACGCGCCCAGAAGCACTTGCTGGAATGGGATGTACTTTCTCCCCGTGAGTGGTCGCATTTCCCAGGCGGGTTGCAGTTATTCATAATCGTTTGTCAGTTGTGAGCCTTACTCTACATACATATATGCATGTGTGTGCCTGTGGCGTACATATGTTTATGCCCAGCAAATACTAGCCAACAGACACACACACATATATGCACAAAGCGACCACAGTACGCGGCAAAGCAATTTTGGTAAACGCTTTTTGGGCGGACAGGGTGGCGTATACGCAATATATTATATTTTGCATTATATTCCACACTGACCAGAATTTGTTGTAAACATGTGCGGGCACAATAAATAATTAAAATCTGACATATTACCGAAATGCTATGAATTGTTAAGCTCAACAATTGCCATGTCGACTAGTGTATTAGTGGCGAATTTGTGTACGCTAACATTATATCCATCCAAATGTAGCAGCATTGTATATTGTGACTTTTCAATGGATTTTCTCTCCATTTAATTAAAGTAATAAATCTAATCAGCCTGAACTCTTTTTTAGATAAAAGAAATAGTATTTTAAATAGTCTTTTAGTCTTACATTTAAAGGCAAACTTTATAAAATAAGCTTATACATATTGATTTCTAGTTTGTATCTCCTGCCTCATCTACATCGTATAAATGGTATTCATTCCCTCTCACAGGTATCCTCTCTTAGTCATTAGGGCTTTTGATTGGAGAAACTGGAGGAGCAACCTTTTTTGAGAGCTCACACACATCCTGCAGAGCCTTGACTATTTAGCCCAACTTCCGGAGAGCCCGCAGCAGCAGCAGCCTCTGAACACCTAATGGGCGACCCTTGTATCCTCGTATCCTCATGGCCCCGGATCCAGCTTTCCCGCATCCGAGCCACGTTAAGATGGGTTCATGAACTCCCACTATTCCCATGATCCACCGCAACGGTCGGGCATTAACGCCAGTTAGTGTTCCGCATCCGTGTTGGCGTTTGTATTAAGACTCGAGTTGTTTCGCTCAGCTTGTTGTGTTTAAGGGCACATCGGATGCGAGGGTTCTGGGTGATTAAATGGATTTGATTTCCCCTTTTTTCACGCACTCAACCGACGCCTGGCCGGGGGGAGGATGGGGCCAAGCTGTGATTTGAGACCGCTTAAGATATTTGAGGTTGGACTCCATTTAAAGTTAACTCAATTCCATTTGCCAGGGGTGTGTATTCAAATTTTCTTTAACTTCGTTAAGCATGAAACGTATTTCACGCAATTTAATGAGAGTGCAAGGATATTTGTCCACTCGTTTGAATGCTGCGAAAATGCCATTAGCAGCATATTCTCATTCCATGCAATTCCCGCTTAATGCAATTTAAAATCAAATTGCATTTTATTCGAAAGACTCTCTCTTCGCCCGTCGTACTTCATTAGCAAACTCCTCAACAAATTCATTATGGCTCTGCAACTGCCAAAAATCTAGGGCACTGGCAGTTTCTGCACCCGAGTGCGGCAACCGGAGACCAGACATCCCGGACAGTAGTACGGCGAACACCTCCGTCCGTCCCAGTCCCAGTCCCAGTTCCAGTCTGTGTCTCCTCCGTATCCGTATCCGGCGGCAGATGCCAACGTGTGCGTGTATGACTGCGACTGTGAGTGCGAATGCGAGTGTATTCCGGCGGAGAAGTGTTTGTTTGAGTGCGGAAATATTTAAAGTGTCACATACGCTCTTCGGAAATTAAATGTGAGTGTTGCTTCACGCTCCAGAAACGAGCAGCGGAAGTCGGCGACCTACACTGCACAACCGAATTGGGGGAAAATGTCTTTCAAGTGGCTAACCGCACAGCCTGCGTGCGGGTGCTAATTTACCCATGTCTTAATCTGGCTCCTAATCGCACAATTAAATTTGGTTGCTGTACCGGAATACTATATTTGTATTTTCCATAAAATTAAATCAGAACTTTATTTTCCAAAGTTATTTAACTTCTTTTAAATACTCAGAAACATTTTTTACATTTTTTCATAGCTTTAAATTAAGTTGAAGCTAAATTCCAGTGCAGCATTAAGAAGAATGCCTTTAAATTGTATATTTTTGTTTGCCATTTTCCTGAATTGTATTGCCGAATTTGATCACACTCCTGTTGGGTCCCCAAATGGTCATTCTTGGGGTCTCCATTCAAGGTGCGATACAGAGGCGTTTTCTGCCCTGGTGGGCGTGGCCACACAAATGACGCTCATCGCTTTTGTTAACCTCTTTCACCTGCTATTTGTTTCTGGCATTCTTGTGTGTTTTTGTATGCTTTTCATTGCATACTTTCGAGTGTTTGTTGTGCATATTTCCGGTGGCCATTTGTTTGGGGGAGGAAGTGATGTGAGTGTGTGATTGTACTGGTGTTCTAGTGCTCCAGTGTGTATTGGTGTGTTTCGAGTGTGATGCGGTTGTTTTTGAGTGTTTTCGTATGTTTGGCCGCTTCTGTGGGTTGTTTTGCGGTGCGTATACGTAACATTGTCGCCTAAACACACACGAATACATATATTTAATTATATTGTCGCTGGAACTGCTCTCATTTATATAACTTTCGGGGCATAGTTATATTCTCTGAAATGTTCCACTTATTGTTTGTTTTGTGGCACACTTTAATCTTATTTCCTTACCAACAAGACCACACGTTTCGGTTTTTCCATGTTTTTCATGGGATTTCCCCATTGCACTCTTGTCCGAACTTTTAATTAAGCATTTGTGCTGGTCTGGTAGCATTTGAAATTTGTTTGCACAACTCTCTGTTTGTTCTGCAGCGGATTTCGTGTGACTTCAAAATTTATATCTGCCATGTTCGATGGTTTCCTGTTCGGGAAAGCTGAAAAAGTTTATCACTCCCACGAAACGAAATTATCGCGGTTTGCATGCATTTTTAATTAAGTCAATGACATCGCGAATACCGCCGATGGCCTTAAATTAATGCCACTGTCTGGCATAATAATTGGATCAAAGTTTTGAGCTGCTACGGGAATTCCAACATATGTTCAAGAATTATTCCGTTTAAATCTTTAAAAGCACTGTGAAGGAGTACTTCTCCTTGCAGCTGCATTCACTTCAAGATCACACTTTATTTATTGCTCATACGTCACGTGGACCGTCAGGAAAGCGCTCTAAGCGATTGCTCAACCAAGTGGGATTACATAATAGAAACCGCAAATAAATATAAAGCGAAGCTGAGCTGCTTCGATCCTGATTCCGACTCCGATTCCAAATCCAAATGCAAACATCTGTCTCCGGCAAAACCGAACTGGAGCTGAAGAAAATAAAACAGATGGCGACGAAAAAATAGGTCCAAGAATTAGAATTTTAGATATTTAAATAGTTCAATTTCAAATAGGTAAGGTTTTATTTTAACAGAACATCAACAATAACATGTATAGGATTGTTGTATTTATGTATAGGATTTATACTACTCTCTCCAACTGTGGACAGGCGCAAGTAGAGCAAGAGTTAGCCAAGGCATCTTGTGAGCCACCTTCGGCCATACGCTCATGAGTGGCACTGTCCCCCTCATCCCCATCGTGCTAAGCTTTGCCCCAGCTCGAGGCTTCTTCATGGGGGTCGACTGTGCTGTCTGAATGGAGGTCAAAGTGCATAACTTAAGTAGCCGACAATAAAATGCATAACATGGCGCACTAAACACAAACAGACAGAAGCCGGCAAACAGCCAGCAACCAGCAGCAAAAGGAAAACTAAGTACAGACCATACGAAAATGTGGAAAATATGGCTCTATTTATTTGTACATTAGGCCATGCCAGCCAAGACGTTGAAAATCCCGCCTGCCATCCGTGCACATCCCTTGGCCTTTGAGTGCGGGAGCGAGCGTGTGTCCTGTGGCATGTTGTACCTGCCTCAACAGCTGCTAGCAAAAGGCCAAGTGTTGTGCTTGACATGTAGTACACACACAAGGCAGGAGGCACACAGCGCAGGGATTTCTTGATTTTTTCCCATAGCTTTCTCGTCCTGCCGCCTTGTCGCTCCCGCTGTGCCATAATAATTTCATGCTGGGTCTGGACTTAACCAGAAGCCTGCCGATTTATCTAATGCGGGTGCGGGAGAGTAACAAATTTATTAAGGAAAACAAAACAGAGAGCGCGTTTAAAGAGGTTGTCGTGGGAAAAGACTTGGTTATTCACGGATTCTTTAAACAAACAGAGCGTGAAAATATATTTAAATTCGTGGAATAATCAAAAGAAGTTTAGATTTCAGTAAACCGTAAGGTTTTCCCATGAATAACATTTATTTCCATTTTTTAATATTCATGTATCTTATATTAAATACAACCATTTATTTGAAGAACAAAAGTTGATAAAAATTCTATGTTTAATATCCTTTCCCTAAAAAAGGGCTTTGTAAGGCTTTAAGTAGTATACATCCAAGGTCATAAATGTTACCCGCAAATAAATTTATATGAAACATTCATTTTCACGAAACTCTCATTAAATTGGACGCTTTCGTTCCCCGGTAGAATACTCGATTGCAATCAGCGAAACTTTCTTTGGTTGATTCGCGATTTTCGGCATTAGTACCCATTGTTGTCCATTGTTTACTGTCCGCTGGGGAGAGAGCTGTGCACAAAAGCCAACCGCGTAATTAAGCTTTACGTTCGGAGAGTAAATACGAGAACAGGAGCAGCAGCACACTGACTGGCACGCACACCCATAACCGCAGCGAGCCACCAAATGTTAACAATGCACATTACGCATACGCCACGTTGCGTTGATGTTCCGCTTACTCCACTCTACTCTACTCCCCTTATGCCTGTCTTTCTCCGCAGATACCAGGACATGTACAACAATCCGATTAAGGCCACTAATTTGGAGCACCGTGATGTGGTCCTGGACATTCTGTCCGATGCCCGAGTGGTGGGGCCGCTCCTGCAGACGGGCATGTTCCACGCGGATGTCAATCGGCGCAATTATATGTACGTATTCGGCCATAACAGCGCCACCGGACCCTATGCCCACGTAAGTATTAGCCAGCCAAACGGCGATTCCAATTACATACTCTGCAGCGCATTTAATTTAAACGCTCGCGGTCTAGTCTAAATAAACCCAGCATGAGTTGGCATCTAATGAGTTTCCATGATGTACTCGTGGCCCTCCAAAGCCGCGTCCTTCTTGCTCTCGCAATTTTCCTGCCCAATAATGGAACAATAATGCTGAAAAGTTGATGATGGCACTGGGCTGGGTTGAGTTTAGTTGAGTCCATCACTGGTTGACGGTGCTTGTTTTTGGCCTTTTGGCCAAAACAATTCACAAGTTTGCAGCTGCCAGCGGCGAACTGCCGCGAATGATAGCCATAAAGACAATGAACCCTGCAGCAACAGAAACGAAAAAAATAGAGACACTGAAAAATATTAAACTAGAAGATGAAGGAAATGATTTTAAAACTTGAAAAGCTTTATAATTCTTTATATTCAGACATTTTAATAATTCTTAACTTAGGAATACAGCCATACTTCTTTGATAAAAAGTCATTTTAATTGTTGTAACTTTATATTTAAAATTGCACCCCAAGTAGAAGCACAATTTCTTCTCTCTGCATTTGAGAATAGAAAGGGGAAGGGCTTGAAAATCCAAAACAAAAACATTGGCAGACAAGTTGAGCTCGTGTCCTTTTGCCAAGCAGACGGCATCTCCTTGACTTAGGGTTCATTTGTGTGCTTCGAGGGGTCACTTTGCAGGAGCCGGCAGCAGTGGGTGGCTGTGACTTGTCACTGGCCATGGTTATGGTTATTTGTGTCCTTGTCCCACCGCCGGGGTTTTTATGGCTTTGTCATGCTTATGGATTTGTTACTGATTGCCTCGCCGAGATAGCTTTGTGTGGCCATGAAGCTGTTTTGGCCTCGGACCTACGCTACTCTACTCGAAATGGGCATATTGATTTGTAATTAAGATGATTGGATTGATAGGCAAATAAGAAGGCACAGAGGATCCTGGTCCCGGGACACTTTCATAGAAAATCCTTTCATCCGCTCGCAAACGCTTAGAGGGTCCTTAGAGATACGACTATGCGCTGTCACTGTCATAGAAATATATGTATATGCTGGCGAAATGCGAATTGCTTAGCAGACGGAGACAAAAGTTCGCCGAAACAACAAACCATACAGAAATAATGAATTTGAAAACAAAAGCCACACTCACCCCCTCAGCCTCAAAAGCGGAAACTTATTATTTCGTATTATATATTTTTTGGCAACTTTTCGCTTTGCGCTAAGCGAAATTTTATGATCATAGTTGGAGTAACCACTTGACCATAAAACAAACTGCAACTGCAAATAGATGAACAGCACGGGGGCATGGCCTTTCGGAATGCGACAAACAGCTGGTGGGGGCAACAACTTTTAATAGCCCGCAATTAAAGTATGAAAATAAGTCTGATAAATTGCCAACGGTTGCCATCGAATAAAAGTAGCCAAATCACACAAAAGAACATGTTTATGCTGCCTGATATATGGCCGGATTTTGTTGCTCGTTGCTCGTTCCTCGCCATCGCATTAGTTGCGAATAAATTGCGAGAATAAAATTCACTTAAATATTTCATGCTGCTTGCTGTTTGTATTCGTTGGAAGCCAAAGCCGGAGCCCGAAACATGAAAAGCGGATCCCAAGGATATATTCGGGTGTGCCTACAAATTATCGCTGGCTGTCGCCAACGCAACCTATTCGCTAGCTGGATGTATATCCTGTATTTGTAGGATACCAGGGGTTATGGGTTTTCTACTGGCTTAAAGAATCTCAGGGACTTAAAGATATTATAATTTAGCTTTGAAAGAATAACCAATCTCCTCATAGAGGAAGGTCGTAGAGTTTTATCTTAAAGCTGAGTAATAAGTATTCCCAAGTCTACTCTAAAGTCTCAACTTAAGCATCCTTACTTGTTTTATATTTTTCGGGCCAGACAAGCAAACAGTCAGACAAGTTAAGGCCCACACAATCGCACAACACATTCTGGCTTTTCTTTTATTTATACCAACATTTCTCTGTTGCCGCATTCTTCGTTTGTCAGAGGGCGAAGCCAAAGAACTCGCAACTGAATGCGAATGAATTTGTGCATAAACTGCGCTTCTGCACTCCATCTCGAGTAGACTCAGCCACTCACTCACTCACTCACTTGGACCCCGAATCCGATCCCGGCCTCGACCACGCCCACAATCCCCTTCACCACATCCTTTGGAGCTTCCCCGCTCCTTTGACTATCTAACGCTGGCCGCGGGCATATTGTAAAACTTTTTGGCACATGTCTTGACTGTTTTCCTCAGCCTCAAAATGGGCCTGAGAGAGTACTTACATACTAGAGTCTAGAGAAGGCCGACCCACTGAGACGCTGCTGGGGCTCAAGGCGATTGTTAAAAATAGCGAGAATTATTCTACGAGAAGATAATTCTACCAAAATGGGCTTAAAGTAAAGCCTAATTGAATTTAATCCCACGGCCCAGATCCAAATTCTAATGAAATTTTCGGACAAATGCACAGACTAAAGCTTTAAAATCATATAGATACTGTTTTTCTTTTAAACGAGTTTGGAAAATTGCGGTCTTATTAAAGATAAATACAAACACTCTGATATGCTCGACTTAATTGCTTGCAGAATTTGTTAAGGCTTAAGGATATTCGGGAATATTATCCCAATCTCAGATAATTCCGACAAAATGGAGCCTGGGCTTAAAGTAAGGCTTAATTGAATTTAATCCCAAAGACAAAACGGAAAATGCGCACACAAATAAACAACATGGGGATTGGAGTAAAAATTGCTGCTTTGGAGATTCGCATTTTCTCCTATTTTTCCTTTTGTAATTTCCCAAGCTGAGCAATAAACTCAGCGAGCCGAAAACTTTGGCAAAACAAGTTCCAATTTATTTAGGCACAATTGAGGCACAAAAGATGAAAACGACCATTCACATTGACTTCGACTTGAGGACAGTTTAATAAGTTTTCCATATTAAATTTAGCATTTTCCCCAGTGCCCACACACACAAACACAGGCACGTAGACAAACGTCATTATCATCGCATTCTAAACGCGGTCAGCATCCCAAGAATTTTCCGCAAAAACGCCACAACAAAAAAAACCTTGAAGTATGTCCCGTCTGGACCGCTTCGTTTTTTTTTGCCTTGGGAAAGTTTTTTCGTCGACTATTTGGGCATTTCCCTCCTGCCTCCCTCCCGCCCTCTGACTTTCTGATAAGAATGCGAAATGGTTGAGGAAGGAAAAGAAATTTATGAAAATAAAATAAATATGACTGAAACTAAAGTTTTTATTTTGGTGCGTGGCTGAAAGTTTGCGACCGCAGTCCACAAAAAGGATTCGGCAACTCGAGTGTTTGGCAAATACCAAAAAACGTGCGCATTACGCTTAAAGTATAGCATACATTTTGGGGCGGCCTCCGAAAGGGAAAATATTTAATTATAGAAACCCAGAAATATCAAATTAAAGGCAAACTGTGCTCGAGTCTTGTGTAATCCAATAAAATTATAGAAAGATGAGAGCAAATTGTGCGGCAAGACTTTGCCCCTGCTCCTGCCCCTCTGCAAATTCACGCCCAGGCAATCGCCTTGGGCTACGCATCCTTCGTCCTGCTCCGTCCATTGCCTTGAGCTAATTCGGGGGAAAATATTTTTGGAAATTTTACACGCTGCGAGTGCCATTAACTCCATTAGGTTTATTACGACAAATGGCGCTAAGTCAAATTGTTGCTTCCGTTGCCGTGGGCACAAAACTGGCAACTTTATGTCGAGTGGGTGGACGAAACAGGAGCATAAATTACGAAAGTTACGCATTTATTTCAAATTGAATTTCCGCCTTCGTTCCGGTAATTTTTTAATTTCCAGCTTTAAAGCAAAAATCGTTAGGCGATAATAATAATAACAATAACGATAATTTGTTACAGGAAGTGCCCACGTTTCGGCCAGTGGAATAAATTCATAAATTAATTTCGTTCAATTTATGGACACACCTTAATTATGCATTTGCCGTGGAATAATATTGAATGAGCGCCGGTCGGACTAGAGCGGATGTGTTTAATTGAAATTTTTAGGATTTCATATCAACATTGACAGTAAAACCATATTTATGGAAATTTAAGTTTATTTTTTTCTGCGAGAGATGCAAACAAAGCATAAAAGGCAATATTTGCTTTAGCAAACACTCAATTTGATTGATATCAAAACATTTTCCGTCCCAAATGGCAAGCGTAAAAATAAACACACGCCCGGTCCGCAAATTCTATTTCAATCATAAAATAAAAGCGACCTTAAAGATTCGCTTTGATTTCGGAGCTCGGTCATCGAACCAAAGGCGGTCTACAAAGAGCTTAGACTAAGCCTTGCCAAAGAAACCAATATTGAATTCCGTTGCCTCGTTTCATCAAATTCTCACACACAATTGCAAACTGAAAATCAAAAGCGAAATTCATCATTCATAAATGCCATAAAAGACTTGGCAAGCGATGGGGGCGCCGAGGACATTGTCCAAAGGACATCGTTCAAGAGGACAGTCGGCGGCAGCGCGCTGCTCCAGGACAGTCCCATTTTTGATGTGCTCAGACAGAAATGCTTTGTGACTTTGTTACATTTTTCATGGCAACAATAAAAACTTGGCTTTATTACCTACTTACACACAGCGATTCCTTCTGCCGGCCATCTTCGCCCCTCCCCCTGCCGCCTGGGGCACCAAGCCTGTCTTCGGCTGGCTAAATATTTATGCAGGCCGTCTAAGAAGATTGATGCTGCCTGGCCACAATGGCCAAAAAAAGAGCCATAAAAATACTGCTGAAAACATTTCACACCGATCTCCGAGTCACCGCATTCCTAACCGCATTAAATCTCTACAAAGGGTATACAAACTTTGTGATGAAGGTTGAAAAGGTTACAGGCACTTAATCTTTTAAGTATATTCTTTGTAGGTTTAGGTAATGCCTCGGAAATGTCATCACAGATTTATTTAATTAATTTAATTATTAGGAAGCCTTGGAAAATAGAGGCATTCAATTAACTTAATGTTAAGTAATTATAACTTAATGTTGCATAAATATTTTAAAGTAGTAAAAACTATAATGATATTAGTTCTGTTATTGAATTCTGTTCTTGGCACTTTATACTCCTCTATGCCTTGACCATAAATGTCTTAAAGTCACTTGGTTATGAGGGAATCTTGTACACCAAACTCTGCAATTTTGTACCTACCCTAATGCCTTATTATTTATGGCTTCCTTTGCTACTTTAATAGTCTGCGTTTTAGAGTATTCCCCCAACGGTTTGATTTACCGCCCAACGCACTGCACTCGGCTACATATATATATTTCACTTACAGCTACCGCATAGCATTATGGGCGAGGAACTGGCGTTTATCTTCGGAGCACCCCTGGCCCCAGCCGGCCCCTTTCCCAGCGGCAACTACACGGTGCAGGAAAAGCTGCTTTCCGAGGCGGTAATGGCATATTGGACGAATTTCGTAAAGACCGGGTGAGTACTGGCTGCTGCTGCTGGCCACTTCTTTCTGGTAAGCCAAAAGGCGGATGTGAAAAGTGCATTTGGAGAAAGTTAGCTGGGGGCTGGGGATACTGGCGAAAGGATTGGGCGGGGCCATCGACACTAACACGAAAGAGAGAGGGGTCACAATTCTGCATGCAAATGCTGATGCGAATCCGGATGCGGATGCGGATGCGGATGCTGTGTGGGATATTCATGAGTCCCTGGAATGACTGCGACTGGTGGCTTTGGTTTGGCATCGCCATCAGAGGCTCTGCCTTCGACTGTGGCACGTTCTGCAATCTGCAACGCTTGGACAGCGAAATGAATAGAATTTTTACTGCCGCTTTTATTATTATTCCACAGCATGGCGACTACGGTCGGTGTTCGGGCGGGACATGCAAATATTATTAGTTGAAGTGCCCAATGCTCGGGGATAAAAAAAAGGCTAGCAAAATAGAAATGGGAACGGGGTGCGGCAATCAAAACTGGAATCAGAGATCGTTAGCAGAACGTTTCGGCATTCGGCTGGCGGCCAAACAGCGGCAATCTCAGTCAGGAGATGGTGTGGTTATTGGCCATAACCATGTCATTTAAATGAGCAAATGAACGACCGGATTATGTCGATAAAAAGAGATTCCTTTTTTCAGACCGAGCGGGGGCCATGCATGGGAATTAGACGATAACATATCGAATGTTTGTTTTCTATTTTCTCCTTTTCAGAAACCCAAAGGCTCCATGGAAGGGCATCTTCCTCAACTCCCATGCCCTCGAATGGGATCGCTATGACCTCGACTGGCCGGAGTTTAATAGAAGAGGCCAGGCCTATCTTAACATAGGTAAGTGTTCTTTAATTAGTATGAAAGGCTATATAGAATAGACTTTACACTTTATTTAAACAATTTTTCTCTTTAAGGTATACCACCTACGGTGGGCTACAAGTACCGACAGATCTATATGAACTTCTGGAACAAAGAACTGCCCGATGAGCTCAATCAAATTGCGGCAATTCAGGAGCAGCTGAATGCTCCCGGACAAGAGGTAATCACGGGTCACATGAGCAAATATGGACCCAGAGACAGTGGAGGTGAGGACCCTGTTCGAACCCTGAAACTTCTCCTGCAGGAGCCCAACCAGGTCGGGCCTGGTCAGAGTGGCGAATCCACCGAAACGGCGGCTGACAATATGTACAATGCACCGCCGACCTTTGGACATGTTCACAAGGTAATGGCCAGCAATGACTTTGAGGATATGGTGACCTCTACGAACCCCGTGAATAACGGAGAAGATCAACAGCAATCCCCCGAGACGGTGGCCAAGTCCGAGGCCACGCTGCAGCTGCTGATCGCTCTGATAGCCATCATTATAGCTCTCAATCTGGTGATTTACGGAACCTTCCTGCTGCGCCAACGGCGTCGAAGGATCAAGGCTCTGCCGTTTCCGGCTCCCAAATTGGGCGGACACATCCTGAGCTACGACGGGGCCAACGACGAGGAGCTGAAGCGTTGCAGCAAGTCACGCGATGGCGATGACAGCTTCGTGCTGGAGATGACCCGGAAATCGAACACGTACGAGGCCATCAAGACGGGTCAGAGGTCGCTCAGCTGCTCCACCGTGGACACTCACACCAAGGTCTGTGAGTGGATGTCAGGACAGGAGGCTCCCAAGTCGGGCAGCTTTGCCACGGCCACGCCACCTCCTCCACCCATGCTTCAGGACGGGCGGCTCATCATTTGCCAGGACATTGAGGTGGCCGATGCCGCCCTTCTCATACCCCAGCACATGCACGAGCCGCAGCACTATGAGATGCTGCTGCAGAGGCAGCACTCTGCTCTTACCGAGCCCTGCGACGATATCCTGCAGCAGCAGTATCACTCCAGGACCCATTCACACTCGCACTCGGATCCCGTGGACATGATCTTGGCGGCCGACGAGCAGGTTACCAGCTTTGTGCATGCCGATGATGTCGACATTAATGTTACGAGTAGGGAGGATACCCATGGCTTGGAGGCAATACCCCTAACGACCGCTCAGCAGCTGGAGCTACTGAGACAGCGAAACTATCCCAAAGTCCTGCCCACCGAACAGGACATAAGGGATAGCAATTACAAACGCAATTCCCTGCCGCCGCAGAATTTCAATGCTCCAATGCCGCCGCCAAGGACCATTAGCAGCACTCTGGGCAGGAGGCGTAGGGATAGCAGCAATGTCACCACTTCACCGCTTCAAGTGGCCCGCGACTGTGGAGCCGAGGAGGAGGAGCTTAAGGAGCCCCAGATCACGCAAAATACACTTATTGTGGGACCCATTGTGCCCAAATCGCCGGCTACTTCGCTGAAGCGGACGAGGAGGGCGCCAGAGGCTTCCGCTTCAGCTTCGTCGGCTGCAATGACCGCGCTCAGTGGATCCTTTCAGTCCTTCGAGTCCGTGCCACCAGCCCACGAGACCACACCGCCGCAGGGCGAGCGCACCGAGTGCATTTACGCGATTGAGGCCAGTCCCACAAGTTGCAGCTGGTCGGCGCCCAATGGCGACTTGTACGCGCAGCCCATGAAATCGCCCTCGAGGACCTCCCTCATACCCCGGCCCACCCACCACCAGGTGACGACGCCCGGGACTGCAGTCAGGCGGCTGGTGGCGGGGCAGCTGACGGAGGTGAAATCGGGGAATCCCCCGGAGCTGCAGCAGTGGCCACGCCAAGCCGCATACCTCAATTGCAGCGACCGGCTTCCGGCAAGGATTTCAACACAACAAACGCAACGGAAAGCAACCCAAATCCCATGGGATGCCAGCAGCGAACCGATTCCACAATATCATCTGGCTCGTCGGCATCCAATGCCTCATCCTGTGACTCATCCGCGTCCTCCTCGTCCACGGGAACTGTACGCACCGAACTGCAGCAGTTCCAGCCGCATGGCAGAAGTATTACGACCAATATATAGAAACAAGGAGCAGCAGCAGTAGCAGCAGCAGCAACATCAGCATCAGCCAAGAAGTCCTTCGAAGGATTCCCGGGAAGATGCTCCCCATTGTGCCCGCAATGCGGCGACACGCTGCTGCCTGCCAAATCCTATCCAATCCTTGTCGGCAGCCCATCGCCTTGGTTTACTCGGAAGGAATTTCATGGAGCTTGCGTGAATTTAATAATACATCTCAGTGTAAAGTTTATCTTCAGCTCGTGGTTAGAGCTCCGACTTCTGGCATTCTCTGGCCTTGCTGCGGCTTACTTTCTGCCGGCGTAAATTAGTTGAGAAAATTGCACTGAAGGTTGCCCTGGAGACTGCAACGATGGCTCCCCTTTATCGATGTAAAGAGCAATAGCCGTAAGGGAAACTAATTTCGAGGAACAAATTGCACGACTTACTTGACTTTATTTAAAGAAAATATATATTTAGGATAGTAAATCAGCATAATATTACTACCAAGGCTTATAAATTAAATGAATATAAGTCGCAGTATTTTATAACCATAGTTGAATATTTTAAAATATGACTTACAACTTAAATATAGAGCGTTTAACAAGGGAAATAATAGAAATCAACATATGGCACCATCAAAGAAACAAATAATATTGAAATTAGTTTTTCCACAACACAAAAACCACACACCTTAAAAGCAAAAAAAAGTATTATAAGATATCTGTTTTTATTCAATATTTTGTAAGTTAGGTTAACCATAAGACAACATGCGCAGCAGCACAAAATAGGAGAAACCACATCGATGAAAGCAATTTGTATGCGGCTGATTTTACATTTATTCCCCTGACAACCGACAGCAGAAATAGCTGCAACAGAAATTGCCAATAACAAATGCTGCTCGAATTTTGCCACCACTCACCATTCACCAGAAGTTGTGTCAACTATTGTTGCCGCCAATTTACCAAACAAAAGCTACTTACAAACATTTTTGCCCCTCTTTTATGCTCCGGCTGCCTGCTGCTCTTCTCTGGGCCAATACTCTTTGCCGTGCTGAAGCAATTTCGCCAGTGCCGCCAACTTAATTTGCCACAACATTTTCCCAGCTATCTCACTTGGAAAAAAATTTGACACCTCCGGAAATTGTCTGTTGTTTCGCAAGTTGGTTTTCCTTAAAGGGTTCTTTTAGGAGAAAAACTACTTTTGTTTTCGATGAGAAGATTCTGTTTTCGATGAGAAGTTTCTTATGGAATCTAGGAGTTATTTTATCTTAAATAAATAATTAAATAACACAAAAAAGAAACAAGCTTACCTTGTCAGGTTCATCGTAAGATACTGTTTAAACTCCTTCTACTTCAAATTACTTACAGTTAAATTAGTTGATTCCATAGAAAAATATTAAATTAATTTTAACAATAGAATTTCAAATCAATAATTAATATATTTTCTCGATCATTATAATGAATATTCTAATAAATTTGAAGATAAAGATGTAGAAAAAATTCTTCAAACTATATAAGTTTTGTGTATATGCTTGTAAAATAGTTTTTCTCCCACTTTAAGTAATATTTCGCAGTGCTCGGCAGATAGACACACGCAGTGGCAGGGTCTCTGAAGCCTGCTGGAAATCAGTTCAAATGTCAACATTTCTGTTGCTACACATATTTCAAATATTTGGCGTTTCGTGCATAGTTGTTAACTCTTCTCCAGTTGCTGATATCCCCGCAGCCCCGTGGCCAGGACATCAAAGTTGCTGCCTCTCCCCCCGATACCGGAGAGAATAGTGGAGCGTTGTGTTGTTAAGCTTAGAGCCGTATCCTGTAGGATTTACTGCCTTGGCAGAAAAGTTTTTGCGTCGGCTTTTATGCCTTATTCCCTTTGAGGCGCATTTGTTTTCCTTTTTGTTTTCTTATTTTTTCGGTTTTCTTTTTTGGTTTTGTGCTGCGAATTGAGTTATTGTGTCGTTTTTGCCCAGGTCATTTATGCAAATTGTTCTGTCTTCGAGTTGTTGTTTCCCCCTTTACACAGGTCACCCAAAACGTCGAATGCGAAAGTTTGTCACGAACTGCGGGCAAAATTGAAAATCTCCGCTATAAACAGGACAAACAGAATTGTTTTCCCCTCGGAGCGTCCCGCAAAAAATTTGTAATTAAATTGTTTGCCCCAATGGATTGTTTTTACGTTTTCATTTCGGTCCTTAGAGTACGTCCTGCTCCCTCTGGCGTTGGTCCTTTTTGTTGGCACTAATTCTGCCGGTGAAAGGACTGTCGAGAGGGTTCTTTAATTATGAGAAATCCTTTGGCGGAGCCATCTAATTGAGCATCACAAAAAAACGTCTTTATCATCGGGAGTCATTTGATCTTACTGAGGCCGTGAAATTGGTATAATGAATGATGGTCCGACCGCACAATCCGATATGAATGGATGCCGTTGACATTTGTTTTCCGTACAAAGGAGAACCTGATGCTGGATTCTGCTCCAGTTTCCATTTACTTGGCCCGTCTATCTATCCATCTGAGTGATGTGGCCAGTTTTTCGCAATTTTCTTCTTTCCTTTCTGGCCGAAGTTTATTTTTCGCCCATGTAGAACGAATTCCTCCTGCCAATTCTCTGTGTCTGTCTGTGTATCCTGGCAGTGAAGTGTAAAGTGCAGGGAATGCCACTCGAATTGAATAAACTCGAAGCTAACTTTTGTGTGGCAAGTTGTAAAGTGCTAAATGGAAGTCTGTTAGTTTGATAAGCGTGTAATGGAATTCGTGCGAGCAGAGTTGGCACTGGTGGGAGACAGCTCTCTATTCTTAATCACTTTACCGAATATTAAAAACACTTATACCCCATTAAATATTAAGCATTCGAATCAATTTAGTAAAATTTCCCACCCATCTCGGTTTCACCCAGCCTGAATAATTCATAATCTACCCGGAGTAACCGCACAAGCCGAATAGTTTCGGACCAACAAATCAAAGTTCTCAGCTCACCAGGCAGCGGCAGAGCCACAAGCAAAACCCAGACAGAAATAGGAAAATAGGAAAAATTAAATTCCCAAAGCATCCCCAGTACTAGATGGTCCAAAAATTTGCTGACAACCGCAAATTAGAGTAACTCGAGAGTATATTAAAGTCAAATATGTAGAGGGCGGGCGGACCATAAATAACGAGAATGTAGGGGCAAGTACAGCGGAGGACAGAGTCTTCTGGGGCGGGAGGCGATTCATGCATTAATACTCGTATAACGTTCTGGTCTCTGATTTGATTTACTGTTCGGGGACTTCCCCCACTTTATGGTCAAATGGCGAAGGCCGGCGAAGGCCGGCGAAAGCCGGGGGGATGGGCCGGAATGTAACCGAGGCAAATGCAAAGTTATGACAGGAAGGCCGTAAGGAAAGACGAGAAAAATAAACAAAAACAACAGTCTGAGCCGGGTCTCTTGTTTTTATCGGCTTAAACTTAAATTGGATACGAAATGGATTACTGTATACATATTTAATCTTTTTTAATTGAAGCTAATTGAGAGCGACGTGGCTAATATAAAATGCATATGCCGTACACAATGGTTTTAAATTGTGAGCAATTTTTTCGTTTTTTAATTAAGCAGCTTTATGCATCATGCCTAATTAATGCACTTTATTATTATTATTATTCGATTATTTATACATTTGACGATTGTATTTGCGCTGGCCACCGTGTCTATCCCCGGGCCGAGGTCTTCGATTCAATAGCCTCACACAATAAACTGGTTAAACATTCCGCAACAAAGCAAATTAAGGACCCCCGAGTCCCAGTCCCCAGCAAACAAAGTAAATGCAAACAAAGGCAAAAACAGCGGCATCGGCAGCGACAGCAAATAAACAAATATGCAAATTATGTTCGGCATTTTCCCTCTTCTTTTCCACTCAGCAGTACGTTTGTTTGACTTTATAATGAAAATATTAATAATTCAATAGGTGCCAAATAACACAACTGCATGTGGACATGAACAAGTGTAAATAATTTAAGGCGCGGACATTTATTGTAGCTTATCCCCATTATATAATGAAATTAAACAAATAAACGATATGGCTTTGGCAATAAAAAATGATTAAAGATTAAAGCAAAATAGTTGAGTACTTTGATTCCTTTAAGTTCACGCTGAGTGAGTATCGAAACTATATTATTTATTCATTGAAATTGTTATCCATCATATAATTATATTGTCTGGCATATCTAATTTGATTTCAGAAAACAATATGCCAACAAATATTCTTCTAAAATGTTTAAAATGACAATTTGAGAGAGTTCTGAAACACAATTTTCGGTTCAAACGGAAATTGTTTTATTAATTGAATTTGGTGACTAGACAGACTACAAAAGCATCAAAATGAAGAACAAAAGTCATTAAGGACATCAAGTACGTAAACGGATTTGCTGGTTGATAATTTCGTGCTGCGAGAATTAAATGTAATTTTGCGGTTGAATTTGTATGCGTGTGCGCATGTGTTAAATGCAAATTATTCGCATCGAAAACCTCAATGCATATAAATTCGCAAATGAACAGAAATCGCCTAGAACACAGGGCACAATAATAATAACATAAATATTTAATTAAACACAGTTTTTTTGTTGCTGTGTTTTGTTGGTGTCCCTTAGTACTATATAATTTTTTTAATTAATCCGCCCCACTCTTTATTTGTTTGTTCTGCGGTCGAGAGTTCAATGTGTTGTATAATTTCGTAGGCATAAAATAATATGCAGCAATTGATTTAAATTAAATCAAAAACAAGAATGAAAGCTGACTTCGAGATATCGAAGTGTGTATACCCTTACAATTACCCATTTGAATCATGGGTTTAAATGTAAAATTAATAAACACTAAACCGATGTATCTTTGGTAAATTTGGAAAACTTTTCTTTGTTGGCTTTTATAAGGATGCCAGCATATTGAACCTAAAGATTTAAAACATTAAGAAATGTATGAATATTTTGCAATTTTATTGATTTTACCCCTTCTAAAAAACTTAAAAAACTTCATTTAAATTCTTTATCGACTTTTCTTTTTCAAATATTTTTATCACTATTGATTAATATTTTGATCTT